AGACCAGAGCAAGTTACGAATCATACTAAGTCTCAATTTGTATAATCTCTAAAATGGAAATAATATGGAAACCTACCTCCTAGTGTTGATTTTTAGGTTGACGTTTAAATGAGAAAATGCATGAAGAATGTGACAAATAGCAAGAACTTATTGCAAGTTATTATCCATTGTTGTTTTATATTTCTTATACCAGGTATGTGGGCACACAAAAATAATTTTTGAAGATGCTAATGTAGAATTGAAGTCTAAATGACAGGCATACTCAATGTTGTGAGTAGGCTGAAGATTGGAGAAAAAAAAAAAAAAAAACAAGAGAAAACTGAAAAAGATGAACTTCCTTTGACTTGAACCAAATGTATGGGGATGGGACTAGGATGGCTGGGAACACAGATTTTCACTAAGACACCTCAGATGTTCCTTGGACTCTCACATGGAAGCATGTGCGTTGTCTAAATGTTAACACAATGTCTCTTCTTTCCTATTGCAGTGTCCGTACCGTCCTGATATTTTGAGACAATACAGATGTCTTCCCTTGTAGCGGTCTTCAGCCTCCTCTACTCTGCACAATCTGTAGCAACACGTGGGCAATATCATTAATTCTGCTCTTCAGAGATATAATCAATACATTGCACATGGGGGCTTTCCAAGTAAATGAAAATTGATGGGAAATTATTTTTAGAAAAAGTTTAAAATCCAAATGAGAACTAAATAAATTGTTGAACAACAGCTGGGGAATTGAAGCCAATAAACCTTCCTTCTTAAACATTCTGTCATCTTTGCCATTGAGGAAAAATATTTCCTGTGACTTCTTGCGTTTTTGGTATCTTCATAATCTTCAGTCATTGAATCCCAGTGGAGGGGGCGCTTCACTTGCCCTGAACATAACCATGCTGGGCTCTTACGCTTGAAGTCTCCTACGATCTATTTCATATTATGAAAGACCTTAGACATAAAGTAAAATAGTTATCATTTACTGTGTGATCTTCAGTAAGTCCTTAAGGCTCTCTGAGCTTGTTCATTCTTTGTTTTGAAAAAGTTACTTAACCAACCCATTATAACTTAACCAAGATTAAATGGGACGATGTTAATGAAAGAGTTTTGCCAACTAAGAAAAGCCATGTAAATGGCTAAACGTCATTGCTTTGTCAAAAATACTAAAGGAGAGGCACAGTGCAGTGGCTTATGTCTGTAATCCCAGCACTTTGGGGGGCCAAGGCGGGCAGATCACCTGAGGTCAGGAGTTCCAGACAAGCCTGGTCAACATGGTAAAACCCCATCTCTACTAAAATATGAACATTAGCCAGGTATGGTGGCAGTCACCTGTAATCCCAGTTACTCAGGAGGCTGAGGCAGGAGAATCACTGGAGCCCAGGAGGCAGAGGTTGAAGTGAGCTGAAATTGTGTCACTGCACTCCAGCCTGGGTGACAAAAGTGAAACTCCATCTCAAGAAAAAAGAAGAAGAAGAAAATTCTGAAGGAGTTACTCAGGGTCAAGAAAGTTTTCAGAATGTCCCTAAGATTAGATCCTGGCACACTACCTGTTGATGGGTGCTCTGTGGCCTTTACATTGATGCTGATCCAGAAAAAGAACATGTTCTACATACCCACCTCACAACAGGCTCATCAAATCCTGCCAGTGACACAGAGGCTGACATCCAGCTCCCTCCTCTCTTCCTTCCAGGTTTGGGAAGCAAATAGAGTGAGGGCCATTAGGTGGGCACTGCAGGTATTATCACAGAGTGGCACAGTCCTCCATGGGGTGCAAGTGGCATGTGGGGGTCTTTGGCATCATGCACTATGAAAAAAGAAATTTTTACTATGGGGCAAGTGGCTCACATAGTTAAGTGATCGTACTTATATCTAAATATGTATTCCAGTGTAGAAATTGTTGGCTAGGCCTATAATCTAGTGTTCCACAGAAGTGTCTTCATAGGTGCTGAAATAGGATTACGGGAGTGACAGACACAGGGCTGAAGAGGGAAGGGAGAAAATTTGCATGGTTTTGAGGATATATTGCTTTGACTCTTTGACTTCTCATGATATTTAAAAACAAATAAAGTGGGGATTGGCTTCAATAATTTCATGAACAGATTTAAAATGAAATTCTGAGCATGGAGAAAATTTTCAAATTTTGGTATAAACAAATAAACTAAAAATGTAGACAAAGAAAAAATATTTTCACATATATGATTGACCAAAAAAATGATGTTTCTAAAATCCTGGTGCTTTTTTATTATATAAACAACTGAAGAAGAAAATGAACAATGATGGAAACTCATAGGAGGGGAAATTAAAATGGCCAAAAGGCATAAATTGCACTGAGCCTCCATAGTTGTCAAAAAATAAAGCAAAATAAGATATTGCTGCTTACCTATTAGTTTACACTGTTGGTAGAAATGTGCATGTCATACATTTCTGACAGGCAATTTTTGATATTTATTAAAATGTAAAACATGAATATCCCAAGCAATATCACCCTTGGGAATTGACTGTGTAATTAAAAGTATCTGTGTGTAAGGATGTAGAAACAAGGCTATTAGCTGCAGCCTTACTTGTAGAAGAAACAAAAATTTACAAACTCTCTGATTGATTGACAGAATAAGGAATGATAACTCCCTATTATGAATGGTAAGTTGATCTTATAAAATAAATAAGGGGCTGGGCATAGTGACTCATTCCTACAACCCCAGCACCATGGGAGGCCGAGGCAGTTGGATCCCTTGAGCTCAGGAGTTGGAGACCAGCCTGGGCAGCATGGCAAAAACTTGTCTCTACAAAAAAACACAAAAATTAGCCAGGCATAGTGGCATGTGACTGTAGTCCCAGCTACTTGGGAGGCTGAGGTGGGAGGATCACTGAAGCCCAGGAGGCACAGGTTGCAGTGAGCCATGATGGTGCCACTGCACTCCAGCTTGGGCAGTAAAGCAAGTCCTCATTTCAAAATAAACATTATATCTAAAAATCTGGAGAAATTAATATTATGCATCAGAAAGTATAAAAAGCAAGGTACAGATTAATATGTATTCTATGATCCAATTTTTGTGAAAGATAAAACAAAACAAATAAAAATTCGTATTTATTAGTATATAGGTTTATATGAGCATGGAGAAAGATACAGAAATGTATAAAAGAGGCTGTTCCCCTCAGAAACCTGGATCTGAAAAGAGTTGAAGAGCTAGCATTAACTTTTGAATGATTACATAATATTCTTGAGAGTCTTGAATAGAGGCAGGACAATCAAATTTCTTTAATAACTTCTTCAAGAATGTTAATCACATTTTTAAATAATTTGTAGGAACTTGATGTAGAGATTGTCAGTTATGATAAGATTTATTATTTTATTACCCTTATAAAGAAGCTATAATGAAATATTCTAGCTGCTAATATGTATCTGTAATTGTGAAATAATTTAAAGGTACCGTAATTGAGATTTTACTTAAAAAAACTTCTGATCAAATAAAGGTCAAAATAATATGAACTATCTCGGTCGCCTCTAGAGCCTTGGAATGATATTACTCAGAGAGTCACAGAAATGTTTTTCTTACTGAATCACTCAGGAACCTAAAATTATCAATGGCAGACATATAAGTCTGGATATAAGAAAATGCTCACAGGCCTTAACAGAAAACTTTTAGAGCTATTAAAAATGAGATTATTACAGGATCCAATAGATTTTTGGCTGTAGTTTTGCAAGATTAATGTGAACAAGCTTTTGGAGTTACCTGGGTAGTCCCGGATTTTGCCTTTTTTCTCCCAAGTGGCTTATAATTGGATTTTCAATTACCCTCTTGGGCCCCAGAGTGTTGGCAGCTGGACGTGGGTCTTCTACATGGAAACTTCCAAAATCATCCTTTGAAAAATCTGACCAGTCAAATAGAAAATACCCACCCTGACTGACATTATATTCCCCAGCAATTAAGCCCACCAGATAGTTCTACAGCAAATCTCACATGACACAGATGCCGCCCATGTATTCAGAGCTTCCCAATAGCTTGTTAGTCCCCATCCTGCAACAGAAGACAACCAAGATCATAAGATGTGTGGGGTGATTCTAGCTTTGTAATAGGAAAGATAGAAACAAAACAAGATAAAAAGCTGGAAGAAATAATCCATGAAGGAAAAAATACAAAATCTTTTTAAAAGCTGTTATTAATATTTGCAAAGAGAAAAGATATTATATGCATGAAAGAAGAATATCATGCCATAAAAAAAATGCCTTGAGAATCAAAAATCATCACAACAGAGTAGAAATCCAATAGAAACATAAAATATCTAAATAAATTTACCCCTTCATGTACCTTTTCTCCAGAAGATAACTAATGAAGTTTCCCCAAACTGATAATTAATTCAAAGAAAGATGTGATATCTGAGAAGCTGATGCTCTCTCCCTGGGGAGAGAGAAGGGATTCCCCAGGACAAGGATGGGGAGGCTCCAGGATGGCAGGTGTGACCACGCAAAGCACCTCCTCCACACTTGGAAGTAAGTCAAACACTTCAGAGAGATACGCAGCTGGGAATAACATTTCCAGTGACTATATGAACAATCATGCTGTTTCTCAAGCAATTTAAATGAAAATAAAGTTGACATGTTCTGGGAAAATAGGCTAGAAAACTCAAAAGTGGCTTTCAGGCTGACATCGACTTACAAAATAAGTGTCTATAAAGTGAAAATAATAGAAGCTACTTCATAGAGTTATTCTGAGGTTTATGTCAATAGATAAATGCGAAGCATTTGGAACAACAACTGGCACGTGCTGAGAGTGACTGGGATGTTAGCTATTATTATTCTTTAGATTATTAAGCTCTAAAGTTAGGCTTCCTGGAATCCTGGCTCCACCACTAGCTGTGTTCCATTGGGACATTTTTATGCAATCTCTCTAAACCTCAATGTCTTCATCTGTAAAATGTGCATGGCAATGGTACTTACCTCACAAGTTAATGCTAAATGTTGCACTAAATGAGGCAATGTATGCACAAAAGTGAGTAAAGTGAGCACTCCATAAATGTTATAGATAGTAATCATTTGTATTTTTTACAAAAATTTATATTTCAACTTCAAAAAGTAAAAAAAAGTTCCACCATTAAAGAACTCTTTAGTTTATAGATATTTTTGTATTGTGACAACCATACCATTTGTATTATTCCATATTGTTTGAATAAATACTTGGTATTTCTACATCGTCTCAGTAATTACACCTTTAAGCCTCTGCCAAGAACATTATCAGAATAATTTAAAATACATTAATATAAACACTTTTGGAACATTCAGATGGTTTGTCCTTTGACTCTCACAGAGAAGACTGGATGGAACATCTTTGCTTTTGGATTAGGCTTCTTAGATTATTTCCCAACTCCCTTCACAGGAGGAATGTAAACAGCCATTTTGCTCTCTCACAGATGCTCTTCTTGGCAGAATTCCAACCTCCACGGCCACAGCAAGACCAGCTAGCATTTCAGCTCCCTGGACATCTTTGGCTTCAGTTCCAAAATCAAAATGAAACGCTGTGTAGAAATTGATGGCTTTGAAAGTGGGATTTTCAAATATTGCTCTATGAACTTAAAATTTATTCTATTTATTGTAATATTCTATAGAGTATTTATTTACCTATTCCATTCTCAAGTTCTATGTACTGCGACTAAAGTCCTTCTCCTGCTATTCATTTTGCACCTCATCCTGAAACAAGCTTTAAGTTTGTTATTTACGCATCTACATGAAATGTTACAATTTTTTCTAGCAATCTTTAAAATAATATTAATCTCATTATTTTGCCAAGTTATTTAACCCCTAAAATAAAGGATTTAAACTGAAGATAATTTCTGCCAGTTACAATATTCTTTCTCAGGTTCATGTAAATTATGGGCTCCTGGGGAAAAGAAGACAGCTGGATCTCTTGCACGAATGCTGGTCTGTCCTTCTTGAGGCTTTGTAGTCACATCTCCGCACTACTCATCATTACCTGTATAATTATATTAGAAATACAAATCCTTACCTTCCACTAACCTTCCAAGAGAGCTTGTGGTGTTTGTTACATCGGCAATAGAAAATTAACACACCCCTGTTGCAAACATGGCCATCTAAGGTGTGCGGATAGACATGTCTCCCTCTTTGATCTCAGCCAGGAAAAACTCATCACTTTTAAGAAGCCGTCAGATTAGATTAGATCCACCTCGTTAATCAAAGCTGATCGTCCCATCTCAAGACCTTTAACTAAATCACATATACAAAATCTGTTTTTTGCCATGTAAAGCAACATATTCCTAAATTCCTGGAATTAGGAGTGGACATCTTTGAGGGCCATTATTCTGCCTACCACATGGTATCACTGACCCAAACTGAATCAAGCACATCATCTCTCTGGATAAGCTGAATTTAGAATATGGTACTTGCTGGAAATGTAATATAGAATTGGGCTGGTATAAAGAGACACGAAGAGAGAGAGAAGCAGAGGAGAGTGATACCCTGTGACCCCTAGAGAGATAAGGTTACCTTTGTACATTGCAGATGTTGCTCCAGGCCTACCATAGTCCTCTGGTACTAGAACACTGACTCTCAATAATGTGACAACTGCTCTTTCCACCTACCCATCTAAACTTTTAGAAGGTAGGGCAAAGCATATGCACAGAATAGTTACCAGATGCTATTACTGAAAGATCTCCTGATTCTATGGAGTTTATGCCAAAGTGCTTTTGGTATTTCATGGAGCCATGTGTTCACTTTTCAATGGGATTCCTTGTTTTTTTCTTGCTAATTTGTTTGAGTTCTTTGTATATTTGGATATTAGTCCTTTTTCAGATGTATAGATTGCCAAGATTTTCTCCCACTCTCTGGGTTGTCTGTTTAATCTGCTAATTATTTCTTTTGTTGTGCAGAAGCTTTTTAGTTTAATTAAGTCTCATCTATTTATTGTTGTTTTTGTCGCATTTGCTTTTGGGTTTTTGGTCATGAAGTCTCTGCCTAAGCCAATGTCTAGAAGGGTTTTTCCAATGTTACCTTCTAGAATTTTTACGGTTTCACTTATTTGATGTAAGTCTTTGATCCATCTTGAGTTTATGTATAAGGTGAGAGATGAGGATCCAGTTTCATTCTTCTACCTGTGACTTGCCAACTATCCCAGCACTATTTGTTGAATAGAGTGTCCTTTCCCCACTTTATGCTTTTGTTTGCTTTGTCAAACATCAGTTGGCTGTATATATCTGGGTTTGTTTCTGGGTTCTCTACCTTGTTCCATTGATCTACAGGCCTGTTTTTATACCAGTACCATGCTGTTTTGGTGAATATAGCTTTACGCTATGGTTTGAAGTTGGGTAGTGTAATGCTTCCAGGTTTGTTTTCTTTGCTTAGTCTTGCTTTGACTATGCAGGGTATTTTTTGGTTCCATATGAATTTTAGAGTTTTTTTTTCTAGTTCTGTGAAGAATGATGGCAGCATTTTGATGGGAATTGCATTGAATTTGTACATTGCTTTTGACAACATTGTCATTTTCACAATATTGATTCTACCCATTCGTGAGCATGGGATGTGTTTCCAATTGTTTGTGTCATCTATGATTTTTTTCAGGAATGTTTTGTAGTTTTCTTTGTAGAGGTATTTTACCTCCCTTGTTAGGTATATTCCAAAGTATTTAATTTTTGTTTTTGCAGCTATTGTAAAATGGGTTGAGTTCTTGATTTGATTCTCAGCTTGGTCACTGTTGGTATATAGCAGGGCTACTGATTTGTGTACACTACTTTTGTATCCCGAAACTTGGATGAATTCATTTACCAGTTCTAGGAGCTTTTTGGATGAATGAGTAGTATTTAAAGTGTTCTAAGTATACAATCATATCATCAGCAAACAGCAACAGTTTGACTTCCTCTTTATCTCTTTGGATGCCCTTTGTTTCTTTCTGTTATCCGCTTGCCCTGTCTAGAACTTCCAGTACTGTGTTTAATAGAAGTGGTGAAAGTCAGCAGCCATATCTTCTTCCAGTTCTCAAGGGAATGCTTTCAACTTTTCCCCATTCAGTATTATGTTGGCCATGAATTTGTCATAGATGGCTTTTGTTACCTTCAATGTCCCTTTTATGCCAATTTTACTAAGGATTTAACCATAAAGGATGCTGGATTTTGTCAAATGCTTTTTCTGCATCTATTAATATGATCATGTGATTTTTGTTTTTAATTTTCTTTATGTGATGTATCACATTTATTGACTTGCATATGTGAAACCTTCCCTACATTCCTGGTATGAAACTCACTTTTCATGGTGGATTATCTTTTTGATATACTGTTAGATTTGGGTCACTAGTATTTTGCTGAGAACTTTTGTATTTACGTTCATCAGAGATATTGGTCTATAGTTCTGTTTTGTTTGTTTTGTTATGTTCTTTCCTGGTTCTGGTATTAGAGTGACACCGGCTTCATAGAATGACTTAAGGAAGATCGCTCTTTCTCTCTGTCATTTGGAATAGTATCAATAGGATTGGTACCAATTCTTCTTTGAATGTTTGATAGAATTCAGCTGTGAGTCTCTCTAGTCTGGGGCTGTTATTGGTCAGTTCAGAGTTTCCATTATTTCCTGGTTTAATCTTCCAGGCATATCTTTCCAGAAATTTATCTGTCTCCTCTAGTTTTGCTAGTTTATGCACAAAGAGGTGTTTATAGTAGCCTTGAACTATCTTTCGTATTTCCATGGTATCAGTTATAATTTTTCCCATTTCATTTCTAATTGAGCATATTTGGATCCTTCCTCTTCTTTTCATGGTGAATCTTGCCAATGGTCTATCACTTTTATTGATCTTTTCAAAGAACGAGATTTTTTATCTTTTGTCTTTTTGTTGTTGTCATTGTTGTTTCAACTTTACTTAGTTCTGCTCTGATCTTGTTTATTTCTTTTCTGCTGGATTTGGGTTTGGTTTGTTCATGTTTCTCTAGTTCCTTGAGGTGTGGACTTGAGATTGTGTATTTGTGCTCTTCTAAACTTTTTGATGTGGACATTTAATGAATGCTATAAACTTTCTTCCTTGTATCGCCTTACTGTGTCCCAGAGGTTTTGATTATCATTCAGTCAAAGAATTTTTGATATCCATCTTCATTTCACTGTTGACCAAATTCTCATTCAGGAGAAGGTAATTTAATTTTCATGTATTTGCATGGTTTTGTGGGTTCCTTTTGGAGTTTATTTCAAATTTTATTCCACTGTAGTCTGAGAAAGTAATTGCTAAAATTTCAATTTCCTTAAATTTATTGAGACTTGTTTTGTCATCTATCAAATCGTCTACCTTGGAGAAGACTCCATGTGCTGATGAATAGAATTTATATTATGCAGTTGTTGGGTAGAATGTTCTATAAATATCTGTTAAGTCAATTTGTTGTAGGCTATAGTTTAAGTCCATTGTTTCTTTCTTGGCTTTCTGCCTTGATGACCTATCTAGTGCTGTCAGTGGAGTACTGAAGTCTCTTACTATTATTGTGTTGCTGTCTATCTCATTTCTTAGAACTAGTAGGTAATTGCTTTGTAAATTTGGGACCTCAAGTGTTAGGTGCTTATATACTTAGGATTCTGATATTTTCCTCTTGCACTAGTCCTTTTATCATTGTATAATATTTCTCTTTGCTTTTTTAAATTTTGTTGCTTTAGAATTTGTTTGTCTAATATAGGAATAGCTACTCTTGCTTGCTTTTGATTTCCATTTGCAAGAAAACTCTTTGCTATCCCTTTACCTTAAGTTTATGTGAGTCCTTTTGTGTCAGGTGAGTCTCTTGAAGACAGCAGATACTTGGTTGATTAATTCTTATCCATTCTGCCATTCTACATATTTTTGGTGGAGCATTTAGGCCATTTACATTCAACATTAGTATTGAGATGTGAGGTGCTCTTCTATTCATTGTGCTATTTGTTGCCTGTATACTTTCTTGCTTTTTTTTTTTTATTATTATTGTGTTGTTGTTTTATAGATCTTGTGAGATTTATGCTTTAAATAGGTTCTGTTGTGATGTGTTTCCAGGATTTGTTTGAAGATTTAGAGTTCCGTTTAGCAGTTCTTATAGTGCTGGCTTAGAAATGATGAGTTCCCTCAGCATTTGTTTTTCTGAAAAAGACTGTATCGTTCCTTCATTTATGAAGCTTGGTTTTGCTCAATACAAAATTCTTGGCTGGTAATTGTTAAGTTTAAGGAGATTAAAGATAGGAGCCCAATCCCTTCTACCTTGTAGGGTTTCTGCTGAGAAATCTGCTGTGAATCTGACAGGTATTCCTTTATAGGTTGCCTGTTGCTTTTGCCTCACAATTCTTAAGATTCTTCCCTTTGTCTTGACTTTAGATAACCTGATCACTATATGCCTACGTGGTGATCTTTTTGTGATGAATTTCTCTGATGTTCTTTGATCATCTTAAATTTGGATGTCTAGATCTCTAGCAAGGCCAGGGAAGTCTTCCTTGTTTATTTCCTCAAATATGTTTTGCAACGTTTAGATTTCTCTTCTTCCCCAAGAATTCAACTATTCTAAGATTTAGTTACTTAACATAATCACAAACTTTTTCCAGGCTTTTTCCTTTTTTTTTAATTCTATTTTCTTTGTCCTTGTTGAATTGAGTTAATTTAAAAGCCTTGGTTTTGGTTCTGAAAGGTTTTTTTCTACTTTTTTGAGTCTATTGCTGGGACTTTCCAGTGCATTTTGCAATTCTCTAAGTGTGTCCTTCATTTCCAGAAGTTTTGATTGTTTTTCATTTACACTATCTATTTCAATGCATATTTTCCCATTCATATCCTGTATTTTTTTTTATTACTATAAGTTAGACTTCACCTTCTCTGGTGCCTCCTTAATTGCTTTGATAGTCAACCTTCTGATTTCTTTTAATGTCAATCCATAGATTTCATCTTGATTTGGATCCATGGCTGGTGATCTAGTGGGATCTTTTGGGGGTGTTGAAGAATCTTGTTTTGTCATATTACCAGAATTGTTTTTCTGGTTTCTTCTCATTTAGGTAAATTACATCAGCAGGAAGGTCTAGGACTCATGTGCTGCTGTTCAGTCTTTTGTCCCATGGGAGTTTCCCTTGATGTGGTGCTGTATCCTTTTCCCAAGGGATGGGGCTTCCTGAAGGCTGAACTGTAGTAATTGCTTTTTCTCTTCTGGATCTAGCCACCCAGTGGAGCTACCTGGCTCTGGGCTTGTACTAGGGAGTGTATTCAAAGAGTCCTGTGATGTGATCCATCTTCAGGTCTCTTAGCCATGGATACCAGCACCTGCTCCAGTGGAAGTAACAGGAGAATGAAGTGGATTCTGTGAGGGTCCTTGGGTGCATTTGTGTTAAGTGTGCTGGTTTTGTGTTGGTTGGCCTCCAGCCAGGAAGTGGAGCTTTCAGAAGCACATCAGCTATGGTAGTATGGGAGGACCAGGTGGTGGGCAGGACCATAGTGCTCCCAAGAGATTGTTTCCTTTAGCTTCAGTTACCACCGTGGGTAGAAAAAGACCACCAGCTAGGGGCAGGGTTAGGCATGTCTGAGCTTAGACTATCCCTGGTCAGGGCTTGCTGCAGCTTCTTTGAGGGATAGGGGTGTGGTTTCCAGGCCAATGGAGTTATGGTCCCAGGGGGATTATGGCTGCCTCTGCTGCGTCACACAGGTCACCAGGGGAGTAGGGGAAAGCTGGTAGGCACAACTCCCATGCAGCCCACAGTTTAAAGGGCCAGTCTCACTGCCACCGTGAACCCCCAACAGCAATGAGTTTATTTCCAGGCAACCAATGAGCAGAGCCGAGAGACCGTCCCAGGCTACTAGCCTCCCAACTGAGAAAGCAAGCTGACTTGCAGTTCCTCTGCTATCCCCTGCAGCAGCAGTCCATCTCCTTCAAAGTATCTGAGGATTCTCTCTGCTTTCCTGGTATCCTCCTGTGGGAGTCGTTGGAGCAAATGTTCATGATGTGGGTCTCCACAAGCTGCTCTGTTCCTCCAAGTGGCAGGTGCAAGTTAGTCCTGCCTTCTTCCTCCATTTTGCCTCCTGATGACCTATTTTTCTTGATAAATCTTAATAAAATATCTTTCTTTCAAGACTTCCTCATTCTCAAAGTAGAAACCATTCCTTAAATTTAATCAACAAGTATCTGAGCACTCATTCTGTGCCAGACATTGAGTTAAGAGCAGAGAATCCGTAATGAAAAGATAGCGTAGGGTCTTCCTCTTTTGAATTCCATGTCAAAGTCTTCCCTGACACTGACCACTTCCTGCTTCACAGGAAGGCTCTCTGTCTTGTCTACCTGACCATGGCCAATCCCACTGCTAATCTGTAAACCCTTAAATAGGAGACACTGGATCTCCTGGATTATGAGACTCTCATAGAACAGTGTCTGTTTAACATAAATGTGCACAATAATTCAACAATCATTCATTAAACATCTACTGTATATATTAAACTAGGTACAGTTGATGATATCAATGAAATTTAAGAACATTCCTAACTGGAATTTTCCTGTAGAATTTGTGAGACTGATCTCTACACTAAATATAAAGGGCAACAAAAGGGAATAGACCCTAAACCACAGGAGGGATGCTAACTTGACAGGAATGCAGAGACACAAAGAACAGCAGTGAGATGGAGTTAATATATCTCCACCAGGGTGACCTTGTCCTGGTTCTCAAAGTTTGGGTAGGATTTGAATGGGCAAGAGGGGCAGAAAAGAAGAGAAAGAGCATGATGGGCAAGGGCTTGAGTGAGGAATTGATTCTTCTTTGGGGGACCATGGAGATACAAGCGTCTAAAACACATAGGCCCTGTATTGGAGAATGGGGAGGAATAGGCGGATGAGGTTAAAGCCAGATTATGAAGCCTTGAATGCCGAACATCAGATCTGAGGCTATATTCTTACCTTGATACATTTCAGACACAACTAAAATCATAGGACCTCCCTTTCTTCTCTATTAAGTGAATGTTTCTCAGTCTTGGTGTGAGTCTCAGTGCCTACACAATTAAAGCTTACTGAAATGTTTCCTAGACATTCCAAAGAAATATGTCCTTTATGTTGACTTGTTCATGTTGAAAGACTACATCTGATTAAATAGCTGCCTGTACAATGCCTCCAAGTGTGGATAAAAGAAAAATCAAACTCGTATTCTTGGAAAACCATGCATATACTAGTTACATTGATCAAAGGGCAATAGAAATGATCCAGTGAGGATTTTTCTGAATTTCTCACAATTACTTAAAATCTACCTCAAACACCTGTTGCTCTACCATGCCTCACCAAGTCCTTCATTCCAAATAGCACCTCTGTCTCTACTCCCAAAGCACTAACTGACCCCTGTGATAGGACATTTCCCAGCCAGGCTGACATGTAGACTTGGCTCCCTGTGTGTCTTTTCCCCGTAGACTTTGAGCTTCCTTTTATGAATATAATTGTAGCTAACATTTAGGAGGCTGTTCCTACTGTCTAAACTCCATGATGAGTGCTTTACACGGATTATTTCATTTTCTTCACCAAACAGTCCTTTAAAATGATACTATATTCACTAAACAGTCCTTTAAAATTGTGCTATATTCACTAAGCAGTACTTTAAAATGGTGCTATTATTGCTTTTCATCTTACAGCAAAGAAACTAAGGGGAAAAAAACGGGTGGGCACAGCGGCTCACGCCTGTAATCCCAGCACTTTGGGACGCCAAGATAGGCGATCCCTTGAGGTCAGGATTTTTAGAGCAGCCTGGCCCACATGGTGAAACCCGATCTCTACTAAAAATACTAGCCAGGCATCATGGTGCTTGCCTGTAATCTCTGCTACTCAGGAGGCTGAGGCAGGAGAATCGCTTGACCCTGGGTGGCGGAGGTTGCAGTGAGCCGAGATTGCACCACTGCACTCCAGCATGCGTGACAGTGCAAGACTTTGTCTCCGAAAAGAAAACAGTGAAATAATAAGTGCCAGTACACAGAACTAGTAAAGAATAGGGTCTGCTATGTCCCCCAAAAGCAATTGCTGTCCATACTGCCCATGGCTGGGTAAAGGTCATGCCTTATTCATCACTGCCATCCACTGGACCCAGCTTAGTGCCTGACACAGGGAGGGGATGAATCATTGATGATTGGTTTTAGGTGGAGTAAACATTCCTGGCATGGTGAGCACCTTTGCTGTGATTGAGTTTTTGATTCTCTGTGAAGAGAAGGGGAGTCCTGGATCAAACACTGAGTCCTCTGGCTCCTTGCTGTCATCTTTATTTAACTTCCTCCTTTGCTCCTCCTTCTTCCTAACTGCACCATTTGCATTCAAAGCTAGAGCTTAGAGCAGAGAAAGGGAAAACAGAACCCTGAATGACCCCTGTTGGACTCAGAGAGGAGAAACAAGAAATTCGACAGATGAGGAATAAAGTGGGGAAAAGATAAAGTGATTAAAATTTATTACTTCGACTTAATATTTAACTGAATGATAATAAAATCTTACCTGATGTTGGAAAGATCAATGTTTTAAATGATGATTCAGCGCCCTTTCTTTATGATTTGACAGTCTGAGAACAATCTAATGGGTGTGGCTTAAAGAACTTGATCACAAGTAAAATTGGAATTGGGTATTACTCACGCAAACATAAATACCTGTGCAATATACCTGCTTTATGCACTTAAGCAGGGAAGAAATCCGCAAGGACTTACCCATCTCCTGGTCTGCAGAGAAGACAGAAACAACATGAGCACGGCAGGAAAAGTAAGCAACATATACATTACTGTTGGAAATATATTCTCATCAATAGAACAAAGAAAGAAATACAGTATTTGATGAACAATTTAAAATTCACATCTAAATTAGAAATGATACACTGAAACATGATACATAATATATGCTACAATATGTAATGTATACTAAACTACAGTGGAAATAAGCTGTCTTTAAATACCTTCAAATAGAATGTATAGAATCTGTATCTATTAAGTCTTTATTTCCTACATTAAGTAAATTTAAAGTAAAGTGATTGTTTATTCCGAGCTAATCATGACTAATTTGTAAAGCCAAATTTAGAAATGTCTTTCATCAAGAAGCTTTCTTTATATTAAGTAGCATCATTTAAATGTATTATTTCTATTCATTTTTTCATGAAAAGAAGAAAGTTAAGTCTGATGAAAGTTTTATGAGAGGATTTGATTTAGAAGACATTGAAATACCCTTTTAACCTTAACAGAAAATACCTTACAAACTGCTTATTGGTCTCACAGCATTAGAATCATCAAGATTAAGCAAGACAACATCAACATTCAAACTGTGATTTAAAAAGATTCAGTGGTCGGACACAGTGGCTCAGGCCTATAGTCTCAGCACTTTGGGGATCCGAAGTGGGTGGATCAAGAGGTCAGGAGTTTGAAACCAGCCTGACCAACATGGTGAAACCTTATCTCAACTAAAAATACAAAAATTAGCTGGGCATGGTAGTATGCCCCTGTAATCCCAGCTACTCAGGAGGCTGAGGCAAGAGAATCGCTTGAACCCAGGAGGCACAGGTTGCAGCAAGCTGAGATCATGCCACTGCCCTCCAGCTGGGGTGACAGAGAGAGACTCTGACTCCAAAAAAAAAGGTTCAGTATGACAAAATTTAGGCAATTTCCACAGTAATCTTATGGAACAGTGTCTTCCCCATATGAAAGTCAATACGGTTTTACAGAAAATTAATAATACAATTAGCATTAGGAACACAGATATTTGGTTTTGCCTTCCATAAATTTCTTACTTGTTTAATGTGTTTACAGGTGTACAAATATGCATGTTGTCATACAATATGATCAATTGACATTTTTAATTTTTTTAATTGCTTAATCACATAAGCCTGTGCAACTATTTCCAGATCTTTTTTTGTGTTAGGAGTATATCACACAGTAAAATATATTACTATGATAATTCAGTTTAAAGGTTCTGAGGCTTCTCTATACATTCTGTGAGAAAACACGCTCATATTAATAAGCCTGGTTAGAAATCACATGAGTGCCTCATTGTTACTGTTCTTATTCCACCTCACTTTACTTTCATTCATTACTGATTAATATGTACATTCCACATAGAAAATAATTAGGAAAAAAATTAAATTTACCAAACTCAAAAGAAACAATGAGTTCCTAGAACAAAAGTATAAACCAATCATATTAACAAAAATAATAACTGATGAAATCAGTAATTAATCCTCCCCTCCTGGGCACAATATCAATAACTTAGCTTTTTGTCAGCATTTCATTTATGTTTATCTGTCCTGCATTTTATTTTCCTCAAATGCTGAATGTTGACAACACTATTTCATAAGGTAGTTGTGTTATGATAATTCAATAAATTAATACTATAAAGAAATTAAAATTGTATCTGGTAGATAGAAACAAGTCAATAAATATTAGCCACAATTATTATTGTTTCTATTTAATTTTTTGCTAATGTTTTATTGCCACAGAGTAGAAAAAACATAAGGCTAGATTCATCTTTATTCTCTAGAAAAGATTGCAGAAAAATTATTTAATCACTGATACTTCAGAAATTATTTAATCACTGAATCAACTGATCCTCAACTATTTCAGCTGTAAAACAAAGCCAATTAATTCAATAATACTGTCCTGGTAGCATCTTTGAGAGGTTTAAAAATAATGAATGTTGTGGAATTTCCACCAAGATGGCCAAATAGGAACAGCTCCAGTGCGCAGAAGTCCCTAATGGCTTCCCTTTGGTAGGAGAGGGAGTCCTCCCACCCCTTGTGTTTTCCCATGGTCTTCACAACCTGCATACCAGGAGATCCTCTCAGGTGCCTACACTGCCGGTGCGCTGGGTTTCCAGCACAAAACTGGGTGGTCATTTTAGCCACAGCAGTTTTTTGTTTTTTCTCATACGCAGTGGCACCTGGAACACCAGAGAGAGAAAACCACTCATTCCCCTGAAAAAGGGAGCTGAAGCCAGACAGCCAAATGATCTGGCTTGGCAGGTTCCACCCCCTATGAAGACCAGAAAGCTAAGATCCACTGGCTTGAAACTTTGGGAACTCAAGGGGGAAGTTTGAGGGCGGAGGTGAGGGATAAAGGACTGCATACTGAGTACAGTGTACACTACTTGAGTGAAGGGTTCACCAAAACCTCAGAAATTGCCACTAAAGAACCTACCCAGGTAACCAGTCAATTAATTTGACTACAGTCAAATTAAATAGTTTAATTTCAAAAACTATTGAAATTAAAGATAAATTTTATAAATAAACATAATGCTTATCACTCACCCAGCACAGGCCACAGTGTGCCTATCACATCATGGGCACCTGATAATCAGAAACTTCCTGCTATTAGTACCTTCCTTCCAAGTGTTATGATATTTATTTTGGCATTGACCGTGTTCAACACCCTGCAAAGTTGAATAATTTGACAAATAAATAATGAAAATAAATTGTCAGAAGAATAAATTTCAATTGAATTTTTATCATAATTGCAATTTTGTTGATTTTCTTTAGAAAAAGTTCTGTGAATTGTACAGGCTTAACCACATGAAGACAAATGTTACAGTATACTGACAAGCACTGGAAATATATGTTCAACTTTTATTTTTAAAAACATCTATGGATAAGATCTGCTAGCTAGAAATTCAAACACAATGTCTCCAATTTTGAAATATGTATGTATGGGTCTGATTGTACACACACACACACCACCACCACCAACTCTAACCTCTGTAATTTTGGGCTCAAATCAAAGCTGGAAGGAGTCTCTACACACAAATCAGATAACACAATGGCTCTGAAAGCTAAGCTGCAAATGGGTGTTGGAACAAGTCACACATAGAAGTGGTGGAGAGAGAAAAGTAAAAGAGGAGAATAGGCAAATAGCGAAAGAGACATCATCCCAGGCAGTAAGATAAATATATCTTACAGAGTCAGATCCTTTGGGTCTAAGCAGAAAATTGAGCAAGAAAGCAGTGTATTTTATTAACACACACTGACTCTGTCAGCAAAATGAAGGTGACTTAGAAATTCATGTGCCAGCCAATAGTTGCGGGTAAAGAAACGTTTTCAGCACAGCATTAGGAAATGTCAGGATGAAACACCTTGGGAGAAAAAAACAACAACATGAGGATGGCCTTCATGAATATATTCCATTTTATCTCAGTGTGTTGTTATAGTTAACTCTGTTTATCTTTCCTTATATTATTGCTTTTATAAAATATGTTTTTATTCTCTTCATAAATCAGAGGTGATCATTTCCATGAAGGACTTGTTAGGAACCAGACATAGGACTAGATGCTGCAAGTACAAAGATGAAATGACACAATTTCTGATGTCAAGAGTGAGAAAACACTGGTACCATCTCTCTGTTTGATTTTCTAGGTAATCAAATGCAAAGCAGCTGTGCTGTGGGAGTTAAACAAACCCTTTTCTATTGAGGAGGTGGAGGTGGCACCTCCTAAGGCCCATGAAGTTCGTATTAAGGTGAAATACATTTTTCCATTTGTATTTAAGTCTAAAAATCTCAGAAAAATTTAAAAATGGAAAGAATCAAAAATCTTAGTCATTTTTTATGTGATCATCCAGAAAATAGAATATACTTGTTGTCAAGGAAAGGTATAAATATAAATTATTGAATATTTAAACAGTGATCAAAGAGTACATAAAGTATAATTCCAATAAAATACAAAAGAATTTATGTGTTTGCACAGAAAATATATTTGAACAGATATACATCAAGACTTCAAAATCAATTGGCAGTAGATTTTTTATGTGTCGATTTGCTATTTCTACTTCTGTTCTTATGAAGTATGCCTTCTTGTATATTACTTAAGACTTAATTTCAGGATCAGTTATTTCACAGATCATTCTCAATTGTTTAATTCAAGAAAGGAAGGTAGGGGAGGGTTTTAGCCTGGTTAACCTCGGGGATAAACTGAATCTTTCCTATTTGGGAATAGTAGGGATTATTAGCAAAATTCTTGAATACAATTTGGAAGCGCAATTTCAGGAAATTGGGATTTTTAAATTCATCTGAGATTCATAATATTTCCTGAATCTCAACATCTTCTCTTCACTCTGTAGATAGGGGCTGTAGGAATCTGTCGCTCAGATGACCACGTGGTTAGTGGCAACATGGTGACCCCACTTCCTGCGATTTTAGGCCATGAGGCAGCCGGCATTGTGGAGAGTGTTGGAGAAGGGGTGACTACAGTCAAACCAGGTACAGGACTCACACACTGAGAACACGCCTTGGTTCACCATTCCAGGATTTCCCAGCCTGGGTGAGGAAACCGAGGCAATGAGAGATGAAAGGGCTTGCACAAGGTCACAGGGCAGCCATGACTTCAGGGGTTTCCTCCTTCCCTCTGTGCCTGCCTGACTCAGGCATGTGTGCTTTCAGGCATGCGTGTATTCTACCCTTCAACAATTATGTACTGAGGATCTGCTAGATGCCAGGCAACAGTTTAGAGCCTGGAGATATGTGAGGATCAAAAGAGACACGGTGCCTACCAGTGTGAGTTCATAATCTAATAACCTCCGTGTTAGTGTTGCTGAACTCTGTCTCCTGTCAGGGCCAGACAACTAGCAATGGGAGGAGGGAAAAGACATAAGTATAGACACTGTTCTGTGCTGAGTTCATGAAATGGAGGCTACATGGCTATGGCTGAATAAACATGACTTTTTCTTAGGTGACTTATGCAGCCCCTTCACCAGTTTCCTCTTCTGACATAGTGTCTCTTCCAGAGCATGGACTCAATGAAACAGACTAGGTGAAAGGAAATGAAAGAAACATAGCAGGAGCCATCCACCATCAACAATGTCTGCCTTATTACCTTCAGCCATGCTTCAATGCGACTGGTTGTGAATTGCTAATTATATAGAGAGAATAAGTAGGACATTTCCATACCATCAGTTTCACATAAATTTTACCTATAAAATGTTATGGGCCAACCATTTTTCTTGGTCTTGTGGAATAGGTAGCATAGGTAATTAAAATAAATATTATGTTTAATTCTAAAAACTTGCTTTAGGTGTAGATTGGACCTACCACTTTACCAATTTGAATGGTGAACAGAAAAATAAAATGAACCGTCCAATTTGAGTTTCAGCTCTTACTAACTTCTTTAGTTAGAAATAAATTAATAACAAAATGACACCCTTAGTTTTCACCCATGCTCCCTCCACCACAATAGGAAAAGTAGATAATTCACAAATTATCATCAGCTAAAAACATTTCAAAGTCAGTTCTTATCCAAAAAGGTCTAACTTATTGTGGAGGGTTGAAATTTCTAGAGGAATTTCTGCAATTGTTCTTTGTCCCATTTTTGTTAGTTTTCTTCAAAAAAAGAACTAAGATCACTTTAAAAGCATTCATTTCATAATAAAGATAAGCCAAGTCATTTTGAAAAGCAAAGAATAGTTCAAACTTCTCATTTTTATTATAAATCAAACTATAACAAAAAACAGGTCTTACCAAAATCTAGCGGGACTATTATATTCTACTTTCAACTAAAATTTATATTTATACTTACAGTAAGAATATTTAAGATTTAAATAGTTAAGGATTAAATAAAATGTTTGTAAAGCCTCCAGGAGAAATTGGTACACTATATAAAGGTTAACTATCAATGCTGTGGAAGTAATTTTTTTAATCCGTGTTGTTTCCCACATTTGCATTTCCTTTTTAGGAATCTTCAGGCACTTATAGCCCTAAACTGAAAACAATGCTGTGGCAGGCAATGACAAATGACACAGTTGTGATTGGATGTATTTGTGGAGACTTTTAAAGACAGCTTCTCATCCATACCCTTGAACTTTAAGTTTTTGCTCTACTAATTCCTGGATAGAAATTTTAAAAGAATTTGTTTTATTCCTCTCCAGGTGATAAAGTCATCCCACTCATTATTCCTCAGTGTGGAAAATGCAGAATTTGTAAAAACCCGGAAAGCAACTACTGCTTAAAAAATGAGTAGGTTTCTGATGCTCTCTTTGCACAGACTTTGAGTTTGCACATTAGTTATGCTCCTGTCTCATGCCTGTGTGTGTGTCTGTGTATTGCACTGCCCAGTGTCAGCAATGCTCAGGGGACCCTGCCGGATGGCACCAGTAGATTCACCTGCAAAGGGAAGCCCATCCACCACTTCATCGGCGTCAGCACCTTCTCCCAGTACACGGTGGTGGATGAGAGTGCAGTGGCCAAAATTGATGCAGCCTCGCCCCTGGAGAAAGTCTGCCTCATTGGCTGTGGATTTTCAACTGGTTATGGGTCTGCAGTCAAAGTTGCCAAGGTAGGAATGACAATGGGTGATAAAACCGGTTACACACAGACTGTCAGGAACCAAAAGGGAAGGACTTTCTCATAAGAATCAAAGATTATTTTTGTAGATTTGGAGTGTCCATTAAGAATAGAAAAATGGCCCAAAAAGAATTGAGAGCACATGCTAGAAATTTCACCTGTTTATGACAGATAAAAAAGTTGTTAAGAGTTAAGAAAAAGTAAAGATGTCATTTCAATAATTATTCTTCTGTATTTGCTCTTTATGAGAACTTGAAATGCTAGGCCTGTGAACTCATGTGGTAATTCATTCAACAATGAGAGAGCACCCACACATGTCTCAGGTATGGCAGGTTCTGCTAGGTTCTGAGACAGCAACCAGAAATGAAATGAAGCGATTGTCCTTGAGAAGCATCTAGTCTGTGGATTCTCTATTCCCAGAATTAGGATCAACAGTAGAGTCCAAAGTTCTACCTGATGCACCTCCAAACCAAGGCTCACCCACTCTGTGGATTTGTGGAAAGTAATGAAGCTTCAGTGATCCATAATTCACTCATTATGGGATTTTTTTTTGAGTTACAAATGAGGGTATTTAGTATTATTGCATTCTGAGGCTTTAATAATGATATTGCTCATAATTTTTAAAAAGATTGCAAAATTATTAACATTGTTTAACACATTTTAAGATTGTTCAAATAATGTAGGTTTCACATTTTATAGCTTTATAGAAAATGTTTCCACTTCACTTAAAAGCCAAAGTTTCCTGGCAAGTCTTTATCCCATACCCAGTGCAGCATTTGTAACATCAAGATATCTGTTTCTTAGCATCAGTTGTACATGTTATATACTTAGCTTTTTATATCTTAGTGTGGTACAAGCTTTAGCCTACAACAGGAGCACCTGGAGGACCTCTGAAAATACAGATTGCTGGGTCCTACCCCAAAAGTTTCTCACTCAGTAATGGGCCATGATCATTTGCATTTCTACCAAGTTCGAGCTGCTGATGCTTCTGGTTTCTAGAATATACTTTCGTTTTGTTTTATTTTGTTTTGTTTTGTTTTGAGATGCAGTCTTGCTCTGTCGCCAACGCTGAATTGCAGCGGCGTAATCTGGGCTTACCACAACCTCTGCCTCCAGGTTTCAAGCGATTTTCCTGCCTCAGCCTCCCAAGTAGCTGTGACTACAGGCCAGCACCACCATGCTCAGCTAATTTTTGTATTTTTAGTTGAGATGGGGTTTCACCATGTTAGCCAAGCTGGTCTTGAACACTTGACCTTAGGTGATCTGCCCGCCTGGGCCTCTCAAAGTGCTGGGAATTCAGGTGTGAGCAGCCAACGTGCCCTGCAGCAAGTTCTTTTTTATTATTATGATTATACTTTAAGTTCTGTGGTACATGTGCAGAACGTGTATGTTTGTTATATAAGTAAACACATGCCATGGTGGTTTGCTGCACTCATTATTGGAATTCACTGCTAAAACGAAATCCCCTGCCATGAGCACACATATATACTTCCGAAGTAGTAAATTTTAAGCAGAAATTTTTTAAAGCTCCTCATCTAAAATGGCTAAAAATCTAGTAGTATCTTTATTTTATGAAACTGAGGTCCAGATACATAAAGATATTTGCCCAAAGTCTCACTGCTGGTTAATATGAGAGCTGAGACTAAAATATTACTTACAAATCTCCTGCTGAATATTAAATCAGAGTCCATAATTATTAGTGCCTTTAAATCACAGTCACAAGCCTTGTATTTTTGTAAGTAAGGTAGAAAGCGGTGTTGTCCTCCATAGTGTTGAATAACACTTGGTGAATGAATGAATATAAACCCTTAAGGAAATATAAGAATGAGATTATTTGGAACAGGAAGAACATGTTACCCACAATGAAGGCTGACTATGGGAGATTAGGTTTAATAAATAACCCCTGGCCAATTTAAACCAATTAGAGGGCATCTTTTCCAAATTTCACTGAGTTTAGCACTTACTCCCTTGTTCAATTACCTCATCTGTTTCAATAGGTGATCTAATTAAGCCTACCCAAGAATAGAAGCAAAGGATACTCATAACGATAAATTTTATTTATTATTAAAATACAGATGAATGGATGAATGTTTCATTGCTGTGTTGTTCACTAGTAGATTTTTTAAAGCAGGGATATACTGGTCACAACTACTGAACATAAATGAACCAAGGAGCTAATTATTGAGAGTTTCAGTAGAATATTTCTTGTTCTCCTGGAGTAGCCTTTTCCACTTATTTTCTTTTCCAAACATTGCCTTTGTGTATATGTGAGATACTGAAGCTGACTCTCATGGCTTTCAACAATCGAGAGTCCCTTCAAGACTCTACTCACTACCATCTGGATCTCAAGGCTCATCCAGTCCCCTGGTTCACAGCCTGACCTCCCCATTGGAGTCACCTGATGACTGAGTTTCACCTGCAGAGATTCCGATTTAATTCGCATGGGCTGTGACCTGGACAGTGGGATAGTTTGTAAAGCTTCACAGATGAATCTAACATGCAGCCATTTGAGAATCACTCAACTAGTTCAATCCCTTGAAGTTAAAAGTAAAGCAACTGAAGCCAAAAGAGGTTTCCATACCTGGTTGGACAGAAGAGTCTGAGTAGCTCTTGATAAACACTGGGAATGGCACTTTGTAAAGCTTAGGCACTTTCTAACAAGTATTACTTAATCCAGTTTTTGCATTTTCTGAAAACACAGGTCACCCCAGGCTCTACCTGTGCTGTGTTTGGCCTGGGAGGGGTCGGCCTATCTGTCGTTATGGGCTGCAAAGCAGCCGGAGCAGCCAGGATCATTGCGGTGGACATCAACAAGGACAAATTTGCAAAGGCCAAAGAGTTGGGTGCCACTGAATGCATCGCCCCTCAAGACTACAAGAAACCCATCCAGGAGGTACTAAAGGAAATGACTGATGGAGGTGTGGATTTTTCGTTTGAAGTCATCGGTCGTCTTGACACCATGGTATGTACCATGATGTGCCCTGAGATTTCTGCCTCTGCAATTTGGAGGATGCATTTACACAGCAGAATATATGTTGTATATATAAAGGATATATTTAATGATGAATGGAAATTTCCCATCATCTGTTTGTTACCTGGCTTGTTGAATTTATTGTTATGAGAAATATTTTATTCCATAGACTAATTAAACCTGTCTCAAGTCATATTTCCTCGAGAGGAAAAGAAAAGAGCTTGTTTTTCTTAACTGAGCGATTACAGGTTTACTTTACTAATTTTTAGTTAAAAAGTATAAACTCAAGTAAACATAAATAACACAAGTTCTGTTCTCAAATTGGAACGTTTTATTTTTCTCTCACATTCTTAACAAAAATGGCTTAATAATTTTGCATGTGTTCTTAATAAATTCCAAAATTTTTCACATATTAGTATTTGGCCAAAAGAAATAAGTAATTTTCAGCCAACCATTGTTTTATTAACAAAAATATGCCCTTAGGAAAGTGACTGCTCAAATGCATCACTATATTTTATCACAGAAACTGGACAGTGCCTGGCACACAGCTAGTATCCAATACTAGTGGGAGTGAATACTTTGAACAGTCAACAGATTTACCAGCCCTCAAATTTAAAAGGTACATAGCACATAGCATTGTTCATGGATTACATGAGACAATGCATGTAATATACTTAGCATACTACCACCTGTCATATGGTGAGCTCCCAATAAATGTCAGCTGTCTTTTTTCTTTCTTTCTTTCTTTCTTTCTTTCTTTCTTTCTTTCTTTCTTTCTTTCTTTTTTTTGAGACAGGGTCTCACTCTGTTGCCCAGGCTGAGTTGCAGTGTCATAATTATAACTCACTGCAGCCTTGACCTCTAGGGCTTAAGCGATTCTCCTACCTCAGCCTCCAAAAATGCTGAGGGCATAGACATGAGCCACCATGCCCAGCCTCAGTTGACATTAGAGATGTGAAATATTTCCAATCTTATAGAGCTTACATCACCTTTGGCTTATTACATGATATTACTTTCAGTTACAAATATCAAAGGCAATGGGAAACACATCTCTAGCTATATTTCATCTACCCAGAATTCTCTAGAGTCTTACTGAAAAAGTCTCCAGAGACCAACAAGTTTCCATTGCTGATATTTTCTAGAAGGGCCAGCAGTGTGGATAATGGGGAGCAGTACTCTGAGATCAAAGCTCTCAGCAGCCTTGTCCTGGGACAAATGTCACAGAGGAATAAAGTGTCAAGAGAATCCAACTTTTTCCAGGGCTATAGATTTTCCTCTAATGTTCTTTTTCCACATTGTCCTCCATTTTCTCATGTGGAACTGGAGTGTACCTTATCTCAAGATACCAAATATCTGACAGCCACATGTTCTGAGGATGTCTGGTTTTCCAAAGGTCAGAATCAGAAATCAAAAAACTAATCATTAAATACCTTGGGGGGATTTTAAACCATTTTCTAACTACAAAACATGTTCAAAAAGCTGACTGGAAAAGACTTTCTGAACTGTCTTTTGAGGTTTCCAAATAATCAGTGTATTTTAATGTAAATCCAATATATATTTGGGGAGGTAAAAACAATGTTTAAAACATGTCCATTTGAAAAAGGGACAGTAGAATACTTATTTGTTAAAAAAAAAAAAAAAGGAGGCCAACAAGTGGACAAGAAGCTAATTTTGGTGATATAATCATTTATCTTGTTCCCCTTTAAAATATGTGGTTGAAAGTACTGGGTTCAAAATACATATGTAAAAAATCAATGAAAAACGAATCAACTCACAGATTACCTAAGATTGATGTGATGATGAAATTGTATGCTTATATAAGGAACCAGACATAATATATGTTTGTAATGATGTCTACCTCTCTATTCCTTTTTAGGAAGAATTAAGTGTGCACCAATTTATTCATCCATTCTTTCATTCAAAAACCATTTTCTGGGCATTTCCTAAATCCACAGCACCATCCCTTGCAAAGAAAGGGGGAATGAAGAAGCAAAAGACATGATCTCTTCCCTCTATACACTCACTATCTAGCTAAGCCTATTACATGATATTGTGCATTATATGAGTAGGAACTATGCTACCCACGTTAAGGATGCCAAATATTCACTGTATTGCAGATGGCTTCCCTGTTATGTTGTCATGTGGCATGTGGCACAAGTGTTGTCGTAGGGTTACCTCCTGATTCCCAAAACCTCTCAGTGAACCCTATGCTGCTACTGGCTGGACGCACCTGGAAAGGAGCTGTTTTTGGTGGTATGTAGTTAGGCTTCGAGCCAAATTTTCATTAACCTCAGTCTATCTCCCCTTTTACAAATGACAAGGCAAGGTTTTGAAAAACAAACTGAAAATAATTTAAAATTCCTTTTCTATCTATAGTCTCCAAATCAACTAGGTATGGAACTAATGCAGATAGAGGTCCCAAAATAGACTTTTCTGATGTCACCATTAACCAAGACCTTTCATCTCCATCTGTTTTGTACTTGTGACTGTGTAAGGCATGGAAATTTCTAGTAAGACACAGAATCTACATCAATATTTCATATCTACACTCAAATTTAGACAACTGATAAATTTTTTCTTGACTTTGGGCCTAACATCTGTGCTATGATTTCTCTGTGTGAGAGAAAATAACTAAGGACCCTTGTTTCTCTGCATTGTTTTTTAAGTCAAAGCACGGTAAAAGCATGTGAAAGTGCTCTATCTCTTATTAACCTCAGACATTGCAGTCTGGAACGCAGCACCTTTTCTAAACTTTCATTTATTTGGAAAATCTTCTCTTCAATTCTCCTACTTACCTGGGCTGACTCTAACAATGATATTATCTTCTTTTCAGGCTATAAGAGTAAAGAAGATGTCCCCAGACTTGTGGCTGATTTTATGGCTAAGAAATTTTCACTGGATGCATTAATAACCAATGTTTTACCTTTTGAAAAAATAAATGAAGGATTTGACCTGCTTCGTTCTGGGAAAAGGTAGATTTTAAGTTAGTTTTCTGTTTTGCTTTGTTTTCTCCAATAGAGGATTGTCTATCAGAAAAAAAAAAAAAAAAAAAAGAGGTAAGAATGAGAAACATTAGAGTGCCTTGGTTTTCCCACTATTAGTTCAGTCTTTGCATGGAGCACATGTAGGATTATACTGTGAGAAGCTAAAAACAGTTGCTTTGCATTTCCCATTCTGCTGAAGCCAAAATACGTTGATTACAGCCAATCTGAATGATCAAAGCCTCTCAGCCTTCTTTAAAAGAGAACACTCACCTTTGCCCCCTCCCCTAAAAAAAAAACCACATACACACATACATATACGTGTATTTTAAAAACCATAATTATAACACTGTGTCACTGAAGCCTCTACCTGCCACCTATATGAGGCTGACATTAAGTGTCCATATATTTGAATAATTTTCAGGATATCCTCAACATTTTCATTATGGGAGTAGGTAGAACTACATTGGAATTGTTTTCCAAGTAGATATTACTAGTTTTTTCTTTTTTTTCTTTTGCAGTTTACAAAAATTTGTTTTCAATAAAAGTTATTGGAAAAGAGAAATGTACTAAACACTATTGTAAATGTTTGTCTTGCATTTTCTCTGAAGCATAGAAAAATAAGCCAATTTTATTTTGTCTCTAACATTTAGCACTTACAACCAGCTAATAAAATAAATTCTGTCAACTGCATTTATATGAGGCACAACTGAAAACAGGCAGTTATCTGCCTTCTAGCTCCAGAGTCTGTTCATTTTTATGCTATCCCACACTTATTTTAATGAGGTTTTCAGCTTTAAATAATGTTTCCTTGACACTCACAAAACTATTATACTAGATACTCTAACTGACAAATATTCTTGAGGAGGGAAAGAACTAGCACCCACAGAGCACCAGCTGTTCTACTAAGTGTCTTCTGTATTATCTCGTGTGATTCCCAGACAATGCTTAGTATCAGTCTCAATCTCACTATCTTAGAGAGGAGAATACTGAGACTCAGAGAAGATATAACTTGGCCAAAATCATCAGGTGGTAGGAAGGGGAGCCAGAATTCAAAGGTAGATCTTGTTTTAGCAAATCTATTCACTTTCTGTTAAACCACACCACCCCTCAAGAGTACATGTGTATATGGAACACGGTAGTCATCAAAGGTTAGTTATCATTGTCATCATTATTATCATTGACATCATCATTGGGATCATCATCATCACAGCATTGGAGAGATGATGGCAAACAGATAGATAACCAAAACCAGAGAACAATGTTCAACAACATAAAAAGTCATTAAGCATGCCTAAATTCACTTTATGAGAATGTCATATAGTAATATGCATATGTAAATAAAATGAATCCTAACAATAAGCAAAGATTAAAAATTGTAATATTCAATATTGGTAAGAGTAAGGTGACTGGGTCCCTTCCTGTACTTTCAGTAGTAATTGATACATTCTTTTAGGTAAGCAATTTGGTAATATGTATCAGAAACCCTTATAAAAAATGGATCTTTTGTTCTAACAATTTCATTTCTAGAAATCTATTCTACAGAAATAACTATTCAAATATACATATGTGTTTAAGCATGCTTACTTGTTTCTGTAATGTCAAAAATTAGAAACATTCTAAATTTTAACATGAGAAAAAATGATTAATAAATTCCAATCATCTATTAGAAATGAATAAAGCCATCAAAAAGAAATGACTTCATTGGGAAATTCTCATGATATACTTTAGGCTCATATAATAAAGAATATAAATTTTATACACAATGTATCAAATTGTCAACAAGAGCCGTAAAACTTGTACATATGTCTCAGAAAAGTTGATAGAAATTCAAGAAAATATTGAGAATGATTATTTCTAGGTTGTGGGATTCAGATTACTTTGACTTTCTTCTTTCTGCTGTCTTGTATTTTCTAAATCATGTGCATATATTTTTCTTATATATGCATATACAAAAATTAGCAAAGAGTCACAAAGACCATAATTTTCTAAAAATATTAATTAATAAGGAGTTAGTTTATACAAAGGGCATAGTTCTAGTGTAAATGTTACATTTCTAATCTTCACAACAATGAAGTATCTTAGAATTAATACAAATCAACTTTATTCTCTACTTCTAAGAATCCTCAAACATCTCTGTATCAACAGTCTTTTAAACTTCCAGCATGGCCTTAACTTTGTTAATTTATCAGTTCTTTCAAGCAAGTTATCCATCATCTTAAATTTGTGCAAATTTGTACTTGGGTTTGAATCCCAACACTCTATACTAGATGTGTGACCAGAGCAAGTTACAAATATTTCTAAGTCTCAATTTTTATAAACTTTAAACTGGAAATAATATGGAAACCTACCTCCTAGTGTTAATGTTTAGGTTGAAGTTTAAATGAGAAAATGCATGAAAAATGTAACAAATAGCAATAACTTGTTGCAAGTTATTATCCATTGTTGTTTTATATTCCTTATTATACCCGGAACGTGGGCACAAAAGAATGATTTTTTGAAGATCCTAATGTAGAATTGAAGTCGAAATGGCAGGCATACTCAGATTGTTGTGAGTGAGGTTAAGGTTGAAGTAAAACAAGAGAAAACAAAGATGAGCTTCCCTTTGACTTGACTTAACCCAAATGCAGGAGGTTTGGATTAGAGTGGCTGAAAACAGACAGATTTTTAATAAGTCACCTCAAATGCTCCTTGGATGTGGAAATGCTCTCACATGGAAACGTGGGTTGCCTAAATGTTAACGCATTTTCCCTTCTTTCCCACTGCAGTATCCGTACTGTCCTGATGTTTTGAGATAATACAGATGCCTTTCCTTGTAGCAGTCTTCAGCCTCCTCTATCCTACACGATCTGGAGCAACAGCTGAAAAACATCATTAATTCTGCTCTTCAGAGATGTAATCAATAAATTACACATGGGGGATTTCCAATGAAATGAAAATTGATGGGAAATTATCTTTCAAGTAAATGTTTACATCAGCTGGGGAATTGAAGCTAATAAATCTTCCTTCTTAACCATTCTACTTGTGTCATCTTTTCCATTGAGAAAAACTATTTCCTATGACTTCTTGCATTTTTGGTATCTTCACAATCCTCAGTCACTGAATCCCAGTGGAGGCGACCCTTCATTTGCCCTGAACTTACCCATGCTAGGCTCTTGCGCTTGAAGTCTCCTACCTGTATCTCAATTTTCACTGTCGGCATTTTCCTTTTTTTTTTTTTTTTTAAATAAAATGCACCGAAGCCCTATGGTAAAAGCTACACTATGGTAAAAAATAGATTCGTATTTACAAGTGGTGCAAGTCCAAGAGTTCTAAATCCACATCACACATTTTCATACAGTGGAAGGAAGTGTTTTTCTGACTTTTATGTACTATTTCTTCCTGGTCAATATAGAATTTATTTTTTAAAATTAAAGCAGATTTCATGCTTCATATGACTCAGGTTCTATTACTAATTGCAAAAACTGAAGTATTCCTGGAATCATGTTAAAAAATCTGTAATTTTTGCTCATGAAAGTGCTTCATTGGCTTAACTGTATTAGTATATGACTGTAAATGATTATTTAGATGATGACTGAAAATCAGTACAAAGTAATGAAAAGTAATATGGTGGCTTTATGTGTAGAGATGGGGTGGCAAAAGCTGTGAACACAGAGTATAAAATTGGTAACTAAGAAATGGCACAAACACCTTAAGCAATATATTTTCCAGTAGATATAGATATATATCTACACACATACATGTATACACATATACAAATGTGTATTTTTGCAAAACTATTTTTAATCCAGAACTTTCTATTATCTACCATGTCTTACATCAAGTGTACAATCCTCGAATTAGTTTAATATTTTGAATATGTAAAGGCCTGTGGTGCCCATTTGTTAATGCTTTCCCACTCTCAGGGAAATGATTTGCATTTTCAGCTTTATCTCTAAAGGTGACATGCAAAGGTTACTCCTGTTAAAGGAGTTACAGCTGTCTCCAAAAACGCTACTTGTTGAAATATCTACAATCTATTTCATATTATGAAAGACCTTAGACATAAAGTAAAATTGTTTATCATTTACTGTGTGATCTTCAATAAGTCCCTCAGGCTCTCTGAGCTTGTTCATCCTTTGTTTTGAAAAAGTTACTCGACCAACCCATTACAGCTTAACCAAGATTAAATGGGATGATGTTAATGAAAGAGCTTTGCCAACTGAGAAAGGCCATGTAAGTGTGGGGAACATGTGACGGTTTTGTCAAAAATGCTGAAGGAGAGGCAGGGTGCGGTGGCTTATGCTTGTACTCAACAGCACTCTGGGAGGCTGAGGCAGACAGATTAACCAGGGTCTGGGATTCAAGACCAACCTGGCCAACAATGGTGAAACCCCGCCTCTACTAAAGATACAAAAATTAGCCGGACATGGTGGTGGGTGCCAGTAATACCAGCTACTCAGGAGGGCGAGGCAGAATGGCTGAGCCTGGGAGGCGGAGATTACAGTGAGCCAAGATCGCACCACTGCACTCCAGACTGTGCGACAAGAGTGAAACCCTGTCTCAAAAAAAAAAAAAAAAAAAAAAAAAAAAACCTGAAAGAGATACTCAGGGTCAAGAAAGTTTTCAGAACGTCCCTAGGATAACATCATGGAACACTACCTGTTGCTGGTGCTCTGTGGCTTTTACTCTGATGCTGATGGTGTGAGATCCAGAAAAAGAAAAGGGGGTTCTATGTGCCCATCTCACAGCAGTGATCAAATCCTGCCAGTTGCACAGAGTCTGGCTCTAACTCCCACCCTCCTACCTCCCAGGCTAGGGTAGCAGGTAGAGTGGGGGCATTAGGTGGGCACTGCCAGTGTTCTCATAGAGTGACATGCTCCTCCATGGGGTGGGAGTAGCACATGGGAGCCTTCGGCACCATGCACTGGTGTCTAGTTACATTGATATTGGTGGGAAGGAAGCAAGTCAAAATCAAAATATAAAAGTGGAATCCCAGAGTGGCTTGTGTCCTGGTGTGTCTAAGTGGTGCACATGATCAGGGTGACTTCCAGCAAATTTTGACTCCGGAATCAAGAACTTCCACATTTGGCGATCACCCCCTCCATAATGTAACTCTGTGAATGTAAATAGCTTACACTCATTTTAGCCAGCAGCAAAAAGCTTAGTCAAAATGAAGAAACTTTCAAAGTTCAAAGAGAAAAAAGTTCATGTTGATGGTTTAATAACTCTGATGCAGTAACTTAGCACCTCCAGAAAGAGCACACAAACAAAACTCTGAATTAACCTTTTGCTAGTTTACAAATCATACATGCTGCTCTGGGATTAGAACAAAAGTCATCTTGACAGAATTATTAGAAAATTGCTCAGGCGTTGAAGTACAGTTAGAGATTATTGCACAAATAACCTCTAGTTGGGTGTTCCCTGAAAATATTAAAGTAACTATTTTATTAAAGCACTTTAATTTTTTTTTGGCCTGTCAGATAAATACATAGCCATATTCAAGAAGTGAGCCACTGCATAAAAAGAGAAAGAGAAATTGGTAGGGCAAGAGTAAAGGTTCAATGAGATTAGTATAGTTGGTGCCAAACATTGTTTCGATGAGATGGATGGTTACATATGTGAATTTGGTTTGTTCGTTTCATTTGCTTGGACCTCAGAGTCCAGATCATCTGCACAGTACTATCACAGTCACCAAGAGAACCCACAGGCTACTTAACACTTCACCAAGAAAACTAAGATAACTGGATAGAGAAAAATATCTGTTTCCGTTTCCAGGCTTGCTCTTTGAGGTATCTGACACTGCAATAAATAACTCAGAATTTCTCAATGAAAGCAGGTCAGAGAGATCAACAAGTAATTTTTATGTAAATGTATTTAAAGACTACTACTCAGAAACCAACAATTTACAGCATTTTGGAAGATATCTAATGGTCAAAAAGAGATATAACTACAGTTTTTTAGTTTCTTGAGGGGTTTTTTGTTTTCTTATTTTTATTTTTAAGCTTTTACTTTGGTTCAAGGGGACATATACAGATTAGTTATACAGGTGAACTCATGTCATAGGGGGTTGTACAGATTATTTCATCACCCAGGTACTAGGCCTAGTATCTAATAATTAAGTATGTTCTCATCATTTAGCTCCCATCTCATATCAGTCAAAATGGCTATTATTAAAAAGGAAACAAATAACAGATGCCACTGAGTTTGCAGAGAAAAGGGAATGCTATACACTGATGGTGGGAACTTAAATTAGTTCAACCATTGTGGAAAGCAAAGTGTCCATTTCTCAACAAGCTAAAAACAGAACTACCATTTGCACAGCAAGCCCGTTACTGGATGTATGTGATTCCCAGAGGAATCTTAATCATTCTACCATAAAGACATGGGCATGCATATATTTATTGCAGCACAATTCACAATACCAAAAACATTGAATCAAGCTAAATGGCTGTCAATTGGTAGACTGCTAAAAAATGTAGTACATATACACCATGGAATACTATGTAGCCATAAAATAGAATGATATCATGTCCTTTACAGGAACATGTATGGAGCTGGGGAATATCATTCTCAGCAATAGTAACACAGAAATAGAAAATCAAAAAACTGTATGTTCTCTCTTAAAAGTGGAAGATAAATGATAACTACAGTTTTGTAACAAACATTTTTAGTTCATAGTAAATTTAAATAATAAACATCACTTAGACGATACCATGTTGCAGTGTGGGTGGGAGGAAGTAGCTGGGAAGTAACTTTATTTTAAAACTGAATCCAAACCTCAGGAATTTGGAAGCAAAATGAAAGCCGGAATAAATTCTTTCATTAATAGAGGAAGATTCTATGGCTTTTTATTTAATCTTTCCAAAATCTTATAACTATAATAAATAGCAGAATGAATTTTGAACAGTTAAATACCGTTTATTTCACGTTTGGTATCCTCTCCTCCTTCAGGACATTTAAAGACAGAGGGCATTCAAGAATGTGCTGGTTGACTTCTGAGAGTGAAAGAGATTTAAGGCTCTCTGAGCTATCTGCTCTCCATCTCTGCAATAGTTCTGAGCGAAAAGAAGAGTGAAGGGGGCCAGGTATAACCATTACATCCAAAATGAATACCTAAAGGATAACATGGCAATGTTTAGCCTGAAATTTCTATTCCATTGATTGGTACCTAATGCAAATATTTATGCCTAAATTTTAAGGATGAGGAGGAGTTTGACAGAAGCAAAACTGGAGGAGGGCACCCATAAGGTTTCAGCAGGAAAGAATAGAACATGTTTCAGGAATTACAAGCACTTAGTATTAAGGGCCTGTAAACTTCACGATAGGAAAGGTCTGTGGCCAAGTGACAGTGATTCCTGGATTCCATATAAGAAGTTCAGATTTAACCTTAACTATCTAAGAACAAAAGCTCTATTAAAATTTTTCTGAGCAGATTGGTGATAAGCTCAGATTGGCATATTAGAAACTAATTCCTTTGACCGTGAGGCCTGTGTATTAGAGGTGAGGAGAGGAATTGAGAGAATTAGGAGGTTTTAGCTACGTAGAGGCAAGACAGAATGAATTCTGTTTCAAGCAGTGGCAAAGGGAAAGCAGGGCACACGATAAATGAGACATTCCTAGGAAGTATCGGTGACACGGCATCAAGATCAAGAGAGTGTGGGACACAAGGGATAGGGAGGAGGCTAATTCCAAAATGCCGACCTGACAACGTGGTGTGGATGGTCGGTCCCCTTACCAGCTTGCAGTCTCAAAACAATGTTAGGTATTTGTGGTGAATATAGTTGCCTTAGTCCGTTTTATGCTGCTATAACAGAATAGCTGAGAAGGCATGATTTATAATGAAGAAATTTATTAGCTCACAGTCCTAGACACTGGGAATTTCAATATCCAGGTGCCAACATGTGTTGAGAGGCTTCTTGCTACATCATCACGTGGTAGAAGGTAAGAGAGAGAGAGAGCAAAAAAGAGGCTGAACTCATCTTTTTGCAGTGTAATTAACCCCGCCCGTAATGGTGGAGCCTCCTGGCCTACTTATTTCCCAAGTGGCTCCACATCTTAATACCACTACAATGGCAACCAAATTTCAGCATGGGTTTTGAAGGAGACAGACATTCAAACTACAGCAAAGATTAACAACGAAATGGACTTGATGAAGTTCCTCTAGGATTTTCAAATGCAGTTGTTTATACAAAGTCTGAAGCTAAAAATGGGAGGTACAGTTGTTGTAGGAACAATCCTTAGTCATCTTTGTGGAACAAAGATATGCGAAGCCAATTAATAATGGAGTTCATACAGTCTCTTTGTTACCTTTTCATAACTGCAAAAACTGTTGGTTAAATTTTCTACTTAAAACTCCTTAATGTGAATATCAGGAGTAGAAATAAAAATAATTTTAGCCAGTATCTGGTATCTAGGACTTTTTAAATTATATTATACCATGTTTCAATGATATAACATAATCTTTCATAAGCTATGCTAGACTTTTTTTCTATTCTATAATTTTTTCCATTTTAAACTCAACTTTTCATTTTTAAATAATTTTAGCATGTAGCATTATATTTTCAATTTCTTCCATGCCTTCCTACAAGTCAAAATCTTATTCCAAGTGACATTCCCAACTCTACTTACCAGTCTTCTTCATATCATGGAAAAGTTTCCCCAAATTCTCCCTCCTTTCTGAAACCTTTCTTTGAAGAAAACCCTTTCAAAACACATCCCTTGATTACACATAAAAGTTTACTCTAAATTTGTGAAATGTACTTGAAAATATAAACACAGTTGAAGGTGGTTTATTATATAAAACATTTCTTCACATGTATGTTAGTTTTATATTTCTGAGTAACAAACTACCACATAATTATTGGCTTGAATGAACACCGTCTATTCTCTTATGGTTTCTGCAGGCCAAAAATCTGGCAACAGCTGAACTAGTTGCTCCAACTGGGACCTCAACAGTATTGGCTGGCCTGTGTTCCTTTCTGGAGCTTGGGGCCCTCTTTCAGGCTGGCATTGCTGACATTGCTGTTGCCAGAATTCATTTCCTGGTGGCTATGGGACTGAGGCTTCCGGCTTCTTGCTGGCTGTCAACCAGGGAACGGTCTCAGCCTGGCTCCCTCAGCACACCCTCTCATGCTCCCAAACTCCTGACTCCCAAATCCCTCCAGTCAAACACAACAGAGTCCCATATAATGTCAGACGATCACACACATGACTCTTCCATCAGCACTTGCTCCGTAACACAACCTAATGCAGGGAGTGGCTGTCCCATCACATTCAAAGATTTCATACTCATTTAAGCATAAGATATCATGCAAGGCATGTACACCAAGGAGCTGGAATCTTGGGAGTCAGCTTAGAATTCTGTCTACCATCATGTTTTAATAAGTTTGCACTGCTAAAACAAACATAAGAGATTGGGTGGCTTAAACAACAAACACTTATTTCTCACCATTATGGAGGCTGGAAAGTACAAGACCAAGGGGCCAACACACCTGGTGTCTGGGGAAGGTCAGCTTCCTGGACTGTAAGGAAGCCTTCCCTCTGTATCCTCACATGACTGACAGAATGATCACCTGTGTCTCTTCTTATAAGAGCACTAACCCCATTCATGAGGGTGGAATCACCTCCTCAAAGCCCCACCTCCAGATACTGTCACATTGGAGATTAGACTTCAACACATGAATTTGGTGGAACACGAAACTTCAGTCCATAGCACACAACATGACAATAGATTTCATTAGAAAGCTCCCAATGTCGAGTATCTATAAATTATTAAAGCTTCTTTAATTTGAAGAATTTCTTGACATTCTTGAAGAAATTATTAAAGAAATTTGATTTTCCTGCCTCTATTCAATACTTTAAAGAATAATGTGAAAAGAAATTTTTACTATGGGGAAAGTGGCATATATAGGTACTTCATTGTATTTGTATATAAATATGTATTCCAGTGTAATAATTATTGGCTAGGCCTGTGATCAAGTATTCCATGGAAGTGGTTTCATAGGTGCTGAAACAGGATTATACGAGTGACAGACACAGGGCTGAAGAGGACAGGGAGGAAATGTGTATGGTTGTGTGAATATATTGCTTTGATTCTTTGACATTTCAAGATATATGAAAACAAGTTCGTTGTGGCTCACACCCATAATCCCAGCACTTCGGGAGGACGAGGCAGTTGGATAACAAAGATCAGCAGAGATCGAGACCAGCCTGGCCAACATGGCAAAACCTTATCTCTACTAAAAATACAAAAATTAGCTGGGTGTGGTGGCACATGCCTGTGGTCCAGCTACTAGGGAGGCTGAGGCAGGAGAATCGCTGGAACTCGGGAGGCGGAGATTGCAGTGAGCCGAGATCATGCCACTGCATTCCAGCCTGGGTGACAGAGTGACACTTGACATCAAGATTGTCAGTTATGGTAAGATGTATGATTGTATTACTTTTTCACTTATAAAGCTATAATGAAAGATTCTAGCTGCTAATTTATATATGTAATTGTGAAATAATTTAAATGTACCATAATTGAGATTTTAATCACTTAAAAAAATCTTCTGACCTAATATAGGTCAAAATAATATAAACTATCTCAGCCACCTCTAGAGCCTTGGAATGATATTACTCACAGAGTCACAGAAATGTTTTTCTTACTGGATCACTCAGGAACCTAAAATTATCAATGGCAGACATACAAGTCTGGATATAAGAAAATTCTCACAGACTTTAATAGAAAACTTTTAGAGCTATTAAAAATTAGATTATTACAAAGTCCAATAGATTTTTAGCTATAGACTTGAAATATTAATGCAAAGAAGCTTTTAGAGTTACCTGGGTAGTCCTGGATATTGCCTTTTTTCTCCCAAGTGGCTATTATAATTGGATTTTCAATGAGCTCCTTGGGCCCCAGAGTGTTGGCAGCTGGCCATGTGTCTTCTATAAGAAAACTTCCAAAATCATCCTTTGAAAACTCTGACCAGCCCAAGAGAAAATACCCACCCTGACTGACATTATATTCCCCAGCAATTAAGTCCACCAGAGAGCTCCAAAATCACCCATGTATTCAGAGTTTCCCAGTAGCTTGTTAGTGCCTCATCCTGCAACAGAAGACAACCAAGATCATCAGACGTGTGGGGTGATTCCAGCTTTGTAATAGGAAAGATATAAACAAAACAAGGAAAAAAGACACTGAAAGAAATAATCCATGAAATGAAAAAGTACCAAATCTTTTTAAAATCTGTTATTAATATTTGCAAAGAGAAAAAATAGTATGTGAATGAAAGAAGAATATGATACCATTTAAAAATCTCTCTTGAGAATTGAAAATCATCACAGCACAGTAGAAATCCAATAGAAACATGAAGGACTTCAAAAAATGTACTCCTTGGTGTACCTTTTCTCCAGAAGATAACTAATAAAGTGCCCCCAAACAGATAATTAATATTCAAAGAAAGACGTGGTATCTGAGAAGCTGATGCTCTCTCCCTAGGGAGAGGAAAAGGATTCCCCAGGATGAGAGTGGGGAGGTTCCAGGATGGCAGGTGTGGCCAGATGCAGAGCACCTCCTGCCCACATGGGGGTAAGTGCAACACTCCAGAGAGATACACAGCTGGGAATAAAATTCCAGTAACTATGCCAACAATCATGCTGTGTCTCAAGCAATTTAAATGGAAAGAAGTTGACATGTTCTGTGAAAATATGCTAAAAATCTCAAGAGTGGCTTTAAGGCTGACGAAGACACACAAAATATGTGTCCAAAAAATGAAAATAATAGTAGAACGTACCTCATGGAGTTATTCTGAGGTTTACATGAGTGGACAAATGTGAAGCATTTGGAACAGCAGCTGGCACATGCTGAGTGACTAGGATATTAGCTATTATCATTATTTAGGTTACTAAACTCCAGAGATAGGCTTCCTAGAATCCTGGCTCCACCACCAGCTGTGTTCCATTGGGAAATTTATGCAATCTCTCTAAACCTCAATGTCTTCATCTATACAAAGTGCATGGCAATGGTATCTACCTCAAAAGTTAATGCTAAATGTTGCACTAAATGAGGCAATGCATGCACAAAAGTGAGCAGTCAGCACTCCATAAACATTAGATATGGATAGTAATCATTTGTATTTTTTACAAAAATTTATATTTTTAACTTTGAAAATGAAGAAAATCTCTACAATTAAAGAACTGTTTAGCTGTTAGATGTTTTTATATTGTAACAACCATACCACTTGTATTACTCTGTATTGTTTTATTAAACACTTGGTATTTCTACATCATCTCAGTAATTGCACTTTTAAGCCTCTGCCAAGCACATTACCAGATAATTTAAAATACATCAATAAATCATCAAAACATTTGTGGAACATTCAGATGGTTTCTAGTTTGGCTTAAACAAACAAGACTGGATGGAACATCTTTGCTTTTGGATTGAGCTTTTTAGATTATTTCCCAACTCCCTTCTCAGGAGGAATGTAAACATTGTGCTCTCTCACACATGCTCTTCTTGGCAGGATTCCAGGCTCCATGGCCACAGCCAGTTCAGCAAGCATTTTAGCTACCTGGACATCTTTGGCTTCAGTCCCAAAATCAAAATGAAATGTTAATTGAATAGGAATAGATGGCTTTGAATGTGGGATTTTCAAATATTGCTCTAGGAACTTAAAATGTATTCTATTCATTGTAATATTCTACAGAGTATCTATTCCATTCTCAAGTTCTATTTATTGCCATTGAAGTCCCTCTCCCGCTCTTCATTTGGCACCTCAGCCCCAAACATGCTTTAAAGTTTGCTATTTAGGCACATACATGAAATGTTGCATATTTTTTAGCAATTTTTAAAATAATTTTTTAAAAATTTTGCCAAGTTATTTAACACCAAAATGAAAGCTTTGAACTGAAGATAATTTCTGCCAGTTACAATACTCTTTCTTGTTTCCATGTAAATTATGGACCTCTGGAGGAAAAGGAGACAGCTGTATCTCTTGCAGAGACGCTGGCTTGTCCTTCTCTAGGCTTTGGAGTCACATCTCCACACTACTCACCGTTACCTATATAAGTATATTAGAGATGCCAGTCCTTGACTTTCACTAACCGTCCAAGAGCACTTGTGGTAATTTGTTACATCGGCAATAGAAAATTGACATATCTCTGTTGGAAACATGGCCATCTACCATCTATGGGTAGACACATCTTCATCTTTCACCAGAGCCTGGAAAAGCTCTCCAATTTTAGGAAGCCATATGATTAAATTAGGTTCACCTGGATAATCCAAGCTAATCTTCCCACCTCAAGACCTTTAACTGAATCCCATTTCCAAAATCCATTTTTTGCCATGTAAAGCAACATATTCCTAGATTCCAGGGATTAGGGGTAGATGTATTTGAGGGCCATTATTCTGCCTACAACATAGGGCATCACTGACCCATACTGAACCAAACATATCATCTCTCTAGATAAGCTGAATTTAGAATATAGTACTTAGTGGAAATGTAATATAAAATTGGACTGGCTTACAGAGACACACAGAGAGAGCGAAGCAGAGGAAAGTGATGCCCTGTGACCCTTGGGATTGTTAGGATTACCTTTGGACATTCCAGATATTGCTCCAGGCCTGCCATAGTACTCTGACATGAGAATGTTGACACTCAATCATGTGTCCCCTGCTCTTCCCATCTGCCCATCTAAACTTTTAGGAGGTAGGGCAAAAAGTAAGCAAAAAGTAGTTGTCAGATGGTATTAAGAAAGATCTCCTGACTCTGCGGTGTTTGTCCCAAAGTGCTTTTGGCAGATCATGGAGTCATGTGTTCACAAAGTGATGGAAGCTCTTAAGCAAATACCACATTCCCAAATTCATTTGGGCTTTGAAAACAAGGTGGTAGTGGCTACTATTCCCTTAAATGCTAGAATGTCTCCAGATGTGAGAGAAGATTAAACAGAAATATTTATAAAAGGGCATATTAAAGAAAAAAAGATATTCAATATAATTTGTCTATACTGTTAATTGCATATATACCTCTCAATTCCACCTCATCTTTCTTGATAAATCTTTTTTTTTCAATGACCAATAATATTATTTTGGATTGAAAACATTTTTTATTTATTTTTTCTATTTTAATAGGTTTTGGGGGAACAGGTGGTGTTTGTTTACATGAATAAATTCTTTAGTGGTGATTTCTGAGATTTTGGTGTACCCATCATTCAAGCAGTATACACTGTACCTATGTGTGTATCTTATCACTGACCCCCATCCCTCCCTTATCACTGAGTCTCCAAAGTCCATTGTATCATTCCTTTTGCATCTGCATCCTCAAAGCTCAGCTCCCACTTATGAGTGAAAAACTGTGATATTTGGTTTCTCATTCCTGAGTTACTTCACTTTGAATAGTGTTCTTCAATTCCACCCAGGTTGCTACCAATGCCATTACTCAGTTCCTTTTTATGGCTCAGTAGTATTCCATAGAGCACGTGTGTGTGTGTGTGTGTGCGCGCGCACGCGTGCGCGCGTGCATGTGCACATGTGTGCGTGTACCTTTTCCTTATCTATCATTGACTAATATTGACAATTGATGGGCATTTGGGCTGGCTCCATATTTTTGCAATTGTGAGTTGTGCTGCTATAAATATGCATGTTCAAGTATCTCTTTCATATAATGACTTCTTTTCCTTTGGGTAGATACCCAGTAGTGGGATTGCTAAATCAAATGGTAGATCTTCTTTCAGTTCTTTAAGGAACCTCCTCTCTGTCTTCCAAAGAGGTTGTACTAGTTTATATTCCCACCAAGAGTGTAAAAGTGTTCCCTGTTCACCATATCCACACCAACATCTTTTTTTTTTAAATTTTTTTATTATGGCCATTCTTGCAGGAATCAGGTGGTATGCCATTGTGGTTTCAATTTGCATTTCCCTGATTATTAGTGATATTGGGCATTTTCTCATACGTTTGTTGGCTATTTGTTTGTTTTCTTTTGAGAATTGCCTACTCATGTCCTTAGCCCACTTTTGAATGGGATTGTTTGGATTTTTTTCTTCTTGCTGATTTGTTTGAGTTCTTTGTAGATTCTGGATGTTAGTCTTTGTCAGATGTATAGATTGCCAAGGTTTTCTCCCACTCTGTGGGTTGCCTCTTTAATCTGCTAATTATTTCCTTTGCTGTGCAGAAACTTTTTAGTTTAATTATGTCTTGTCTGTTTATCATTGTTTTTGTTGCATTTGCTTTTGATTTTTTGTTCAAGAAGTCACTGCCTAAGCCAATGTCTAAAATGGTTTTTCCAATATTATCTTCTAGAATTTTTAAGATTTCAGGTATTTTATTTAAGTCTTTGATCCATCTTGAGTTGATTTTTGTATAAGGTGAGAGATAAGAATCCAGTTTCATTCTTCTACATGTGGCTTGCCAACTATTCCGCACCATTTGTTGAATAGAGTGTCCTTTCCCCATTTTATGTTTCTGTTTGCTTTGTTGGAGATCAGTGGGCTGTAAGTATTTGGGTTTATTTCTGGATTCTCTATTCTGTTCCATTGGTCTACAAGATTGTTTTTATACCAGTACCATGCTGTTTGGGTGACTGTAGCCTTACAGTACAGTTTGAAGTCGGGTAATGTAATGCCTACAGATTTGTTCTTTCTGCTTAGTCTTGCTGTGGCTATGCAGGGTCTTTTTTGGTTCCATATGAATTTTAAATTTTTTTTCTAGTTCTGTGAAGAATGATGGTGATCTTTTGATATGAATTGCATTGAATTTATAGATTGTTTTTGGCAGTATGGTCATTTTCACAATATTGATTCTACCCATTCATAAGCATGGGATGTGTTTCCACTTGTTTGTGTCATTTATATTTTTTTCAGCAGTGCTTTGTAGTTTTTCTTGTAGAGGTAGTTCACCTCCTTAGCTAAGTATATTCCTAAGTGTTTAATTTTTTGCAGCTATTGTTAAACAGGTTGAGTTGATTTGATTCTCAGCTTCATTACTGTTGGTATATAGCAGGGCTACTGATTTGTGTACATTACTTTTGTATTCTGAAGCTTTGCTGAATTCATTTACCAGTTCTAGGAGATTTTTGGATGAGTTTTTAAGATTTTTAGGCATACAATCATGTCATCAGCAAACAGAAACAGTTTTACTTCCTCTTTACCAATTTGGATGCCCTTTATTTCTTTCTCTTATCCGTTTGCTCCATCTAGAACTTCCAGTACTGTGTCGAATAGAAGTCATGAAAGTGGGCAGGCTTGTCTTGTTTCAATTCTCAGGGAGAATGCTTTCAACTTTTCCCCATTCAGTATTATGTTGGCTGTGGGTTTGTCACAGATGGCTTTTATTACCTTCGGTTATGTCCCTTTTATGCTGACTTTGCTGAGGGTTTTAATCATAAAGGATGCTGGATTTTGTCAAATGCTTTTTCTACATCTACTGACATGATCATGTGATTTTGTTTTTAATTCTGTTTATGTGATGTATCACATTTATTGACTTGTGTGTGTTAAACCATTCATGCATCCCTGGTATGAAACCCATTTGAATATGGTAGGTTATCTGTTTGATATACTGTTGGGTTCAGGTCACTAGTACTTCTGTGAGAATTTTTGTATTTATGTTCATCAGAAATATTGGTCTGAAGTTTTCTTTTTTTGTTATGTCCTTTCCTGGTTTTGGTATTAGGGTGACACTGGCTTCATAGGTGGCTTAAGGAAGATTCCCTCTTTCTCTACCATTTGGAATAGTGTCAATAGGATAGGTAATAAATCTTCCTTGAATGTCTGATAGAATTCAGCTGTGACTATGTCTGGTCCTGAATGTTTTTGGGGAAGTAACTTTTTAATTATTATTTCAATTGCACTGCTTCTTATTGGTCTGTTCAGACTTTCTGTTACTTCTCAGTTTAATCTAGGTTGTATCTTTCCAGGAATTTATCCATCTCCTCTAGGTTTTCTAGTTTATGCACAAAAAGGTGTTCATAGTAGCCTTGAATAATCTTTTGTATTTCTATGATATTGGTTGTAGTTTTTCCCGTTTCATTTCTAATTGAGCTTATTTGGATCTCCCCTCTTCTTTTCATAGTTAACATTGCCCATGGTCTATCAATTTTATTTATTTTTTCAAAGAATCTGCTTTTTAAAATTTATCTTTTGTTTTTTTTTTTTTGTTCCAATTTCATTTAATTCTTCTCTGATCTTGGTTATTTCTTTTCTGCTGGGTTTGGGTTTGGTTTGTTATTCTTTCTCAAGCTACTTGAGGTATGACTTCAGATAGTCTATTTGCACTGTTTCAAACTTTTTGATGTAGGTATTAGTGAATGCTATGAACTTTCCTTTGGCATCACTTTTCTGTATCCCAAAGGTTTTGATAGGTTGTGTCACTATTATCATTCAGTTCAGGAACTTTTAAATTTCCATCTTGATTTTATTGTTGACCCAATGATCATTCAGAAGAAGGTAATTTAATTTTCATGTATTTGCATGGTTTTGAAGCTTCCTTTTGGAGTTGATTTCAAATTTTATTTGAGTACTTGCTATAATTTCAATTTTCTTGAATTTATTGAGACTTGTTTTGTCACCTATCATATGGTCTACTTTGGACACTGTTCCATGTGCTGATGAATAGAATGTATATTCTTCAGCTATTGGGTAGAATGTTCTATAAATATCTGTTAAGTCAGTTTGTTGTAGGCTATAGTTTAAGTCCATTGTTTCTGCCTTGAATGGACATTGTTTCAGTGCTTGACCTGTCTAGAGCTGTCAGTGGAGTATTGAAATCTCCTATTATTATTGTGTTGCTGTCCATCTCATTTCTTAGGTTTGGTAGTACTTGTTTTGTAAATTTGGGAGCTCCAGTATTAGGTGCTTATATATTTAGGATTGTGTATTTTCCTGTTGGACTGGTCCTTTTATCATTATATAATGTTCCTCTTTGTCTTTTTTAACTTCTGTTGCTTTAAAGTTTGTTTTGTCTGACATAAGAATGGCTACTCTTGCTCACTTTTATTTTCCATTTGCATGGAATATCATCTTGCACCCCTTTACCTTAAGTTTATGTGAGTCCTTATGTGTCAGGTGAATCTCTTGAAGACAGCAGATGCTTGGTTGGTAAATTCCTATCCATTCTGCAATTCTTCATATTTTAAGTGGAGTATTTTAAGGCCATTTGCATTCAACATTAGTATTGAGATGGGAAGTGCTATTCTATTCGTCATGTCATTTGTTGCCTGTATACCTTGGGTTATTTTTTTTTCATTGTGTAGTTGTTTTATACATCCTGTGAGATAGATGCTTTAAAAGCGTTCTGCTTTCATGTGTTTCCAGGATTTGTTTCAAGATTTACAGCTCCTTTTAGCAGTTCTTGTAATGCTGGCTTGGTAACGATGAATTCTCTCAGCATTTGTTTGTATGAAGAGTGTCTATATTTTCTTCATTTATGAAGCTTAGTTTTGCTGGATACAAGATTCTTAACTGGTAATTGTTATGTTTAAGGAGGCCAAAGAAAGAACCCCAATGTCTTCTAGCTTGCAGGGTTTCTGCTGAGAAATCTGCTATTATTCTGACAGGTTTTCTTTTATAGGTTACTGTTGCAGACCAGCCACAGCACAACCCGTGGGTGTTCTAAGCCCCAGCAGTGACAAGGAAATTAAGGAAAAAAAGACACAGGCACAGAAAGAGAAATCATTAGCATGGGCCAAGGAGTTCTTCACAAGATGAGGACCATGAAGACCCTGAGCTCTAGGCTCCACATATATTTATTGCAACACACACATAGTTTGATCGTATCGCTCAAGCTAGGGTGATCATGGGGTGAGTACACACAATGGAACAGTTTATGCCATCTACATTTAGTTGGGGGTATGTAGTTATTCTAAAAAACTAAACTAGTATTGTATAGTTAAACAATGGATAAACATTGAGGTGCAGCTGCAGGAGTGTGGGAATGGGTAAGAGCCAGAAAATTCTGACCACATGATGTACCTCAAAGGAGAGACTATCTCCTGAGCCCAGTCACCCATGGAACAGGAGGGAGACCAGAGAATGCCACTCTTATCTCAACCAGCCCAGAAGCCTCCT